CTATAGTAAAAGAATGAATTAGAGTACGTCCATGCTGAGGTGGATGTACTCTCTCATATAAAGAGGGAGGCAGATCCATAGGCACTGATGAGAATTATATACTACTGCTTTGTGAGAAGGATATATGCATGGTCGTATGAGTGGTAGGATAATAATAAAAGAAGTGAGTAGACACATACTTTTTTATTACACTTCAGTTCATTGTGCTTCAGAGATACTGTGATTTTTACAGATTAAAGGTCTGTAGCTACCCTGCTTCAGCAAATCCATTGGCACCATTTTTTCCAAGCCTACGTGCTCACTTTGTGTCTCATGTTACACTTTGGTGATTCTTGCAGTATTTAAAACTTGTTAATTATTATTATATCTGACGTGGTGATCTGGGATCAGTAATCTTTGATGTTACTGTTGTAATTGTATAGGGATGCCATCAACCACTCCCATATAAAATGGCAAGCTTAACTGATAAATGTAATTAATGAATGTGTTCTGACTGTTCCACCAACCACCCATTTCTCCATCTCTTTTCCTCCCCTTTACCCCACCCCATTTCCTGAGTCACAACAGTATTGAATTAGGCCAGTGAATAACCTTACAATAGCCTATAAGTGTTCAGGGAGTGAAAGGAACAGTTACATATCTCAATCAAAAACTAGAAATGATGAAGCTGAGTGAGGGTGGCATGTGGAGATCTGAGACAGGCCGAAAGAGACGCCTCTTACTTCTGTTAGCCAAGTCGTGAATGCAAAGGAAAAGTTCATGAAGAAAACGAAAAGTGCTGCTCCAGTGAACACACAAATGATAAGAAAGCCAAACAGTCTTATTACTGATATGGAGAGAATGTGAGTGGCCTGCCTAGAAGATTTAACCAGCTACCAGATTCCCTTAAGCCAAAGCCTCATCCAGAGCAAGGCTTTAACTCTCTTCAAGTCTGTAAAGACTGAGAGAGATAAGGAAGCTTCAGAAGAAAAATGTGCAGCTAGCAATGGCTGATTCATAAGGTTTAAGGACAAAAGCCATCTACATAATATAAAAGTACAAGGTGAAGCAGCAAATGCAGATGGAGACATTCCAGCAAGTTATCTGGAAGACTGAGCTAAGATCATTGTTGAATGTGGCGACACTAAACATCATATCTTCAGTGTAGACTGTACAGCCTTCTGTTGGAAGAAGACGCCATCTAGGATTTTAATAGCTAGAGAGAAGTCAAGGCCTGTCTTTAAAGCTTCAAAGGATAGGCAGGCTTGCTTATTAGGAGCTAATGCAGCTGTTAAGTTGAAGCCAACATCCATTTATTATTTCAAAAATCATAAAGCCCTGAAGAATTATGTCAAATCTACTTTGCCTGTGATCTATAAATGGAATACCAAAGGCTGGATGACAGTACGTCTGTTTACATCCTGGTTTACTGAATATTTTAAGCCCACTGTTGAGAACTACTGCTCAGAAAATGATTCATTTAAAAATATTACTACTCATCTAGAAGGCATCTAGTTATTCAATAGCTCTCATGTAGGTGTACAAGGAGGATATTAACGTTGTTTTCATGCCTGTTAATATAACAGCCATTCTGTAACCCATGAGTCAAGGAGCAGTTTTGGCTTTTGAGTCTTATTATTTTAAGAAATAAATTTCATAAGACTATAGTTGCCGTAGACTCTTTTGATGGATCTGGGCAATGTCCATTGAAAACCTTCTGAAAAGGATTCACCATGCCAGATGCTATTAAATACATCCATGATTTTTGGAAGGAGGTAAAAATATCAACACTGACAGGAGTTTGAGGAAGTGGATTTCAGCCCTCATGGATGACTTTGAAGGGTTCAAGACTCTAATGAACAAAGAATAAATACCAATGTGGTAGAAACAGCAGCCTGAAAATAGGCCTGAATTGCTGCTATCTCATGATAAAACTTGAAGGAGGAGTTCCTTCTTATGAATTAGCAAAGAAAGTGGTTTTCTTGAGACGAAATTGACTCTTGGTGAAGATACTGTGAATATTGTTAAAATGACTACTTAGGATTTAGAGTATTACATAAACTTAGTTGATAAAGCTGCAGCAGCCTTTGAGAGCATTGATTCCAATTTTAAAAGAAGTTCTATTGTGGACAAAATGCTGTCAAACAGCATCACACGCTACTTGAGAATGTGATATATAGCATCACATGCTACAGAAAAATCTTTTGCAAAAGAAGAGTCAATCACTGCAGCAAACTTCATTGTTTTCTCATTTGGAGAAATGACCACAGCCACCCCAGCCTTTGGCACCCACCACCCTGATCAGTCGGCACCCATCAACATTGAGGCAAACCATCCATGAAAAAAATTAGAACTTGATAAAGGCTCAGATGATGGTTATAATTTTCTAGCAATAAAGTATTTTTAATTAAGGTATGTACATTGCTTTCTTGGACTTAATGCTATTGCACATCTAATTGATGACAAGATAGTGTAAACATAACTTTTATATACACTGGGAAACTAAAAAATGCATGTGACTTACTTTATTGTGGTGGTATGATACCAAAAACCACAGTATTTCCAAGGCGTGCCAGTACTGCTTTAAAGAAGTTAGCAAAATATCGTACCTTTTTTATGGACATCATACATCAGAGTAATATTTTGTTGACTTGTTGAAAGAAGCCTCTCATCTGGCCTTCCATAATTAATTATTCTGTCTCTAGTTTTGTTTTCTTCTGTATTTGGCTAACTGTATAATTAGGACAGCATTCTCTGGAATTGCCAATCTTATTTTGATTATGTGACCTTTGATCCATGTTTACTGGGTTTTGGAGATGACTGTCATCTTTACTTTGAGATTTGAACCTCATCTCTAAGTGAATGTTACATGTAATTAATTTTCAATAGAATGAATCTGCAGCTAGGATGAAAGCCAGTTCCTTTGCTTGTTTTTAGAATGAATGTCTCTCTGAATCTGATACTAGAGAAATTTAATAAGAGAAACTTCAAGATGTTCAGTCTCATTTATTGTCTCCCAATTCATTTAGTGAACAAGATATTGTTATTAGCAGACACTTCAATAACTGAGTAGTGTTTATGTCTATTTTGACTTTAATGGTGTGACTTAACTTTGTATAATATGTATTTACTTGTTTAAAAGATCTGAATTTCAACAGGTAGGCAATGTTCCTAATTGTAAATTAGGCAAATGTGTTTGTAATAATGAGCATTTATTACTTTTAATAATAAAATCTGTTGTAAATATTTACTAAGCAACTACTATGTACGAGACAGTGGTTTCTGTGAGAGGACTTTCACATGGTTAAATAGAATTAACTGAGTACTTGCCCTTTGGCTCATTTCATTTTACAAGGATATTAGCAATGAAAGAGGAATTCTGTGCTCATCGGCATGCCCTAAATGGCAGAAAACGTCTATTCTTTAGTTAGAGATGAGGGAGACACATGACCACATCCTCCTACTGAAGTGTTGTTTGATGACTTTCCCATCATTTTCTGTAGTAAGAATGGGAGCATTGATATGGTTGAATTTACTCTTGAAGGTCTAGGTACACAAATATTATTTTCTGAGAATGGGCAGAGCTGATTTCAAGTTGTGACCCATGGTCACTTACCCTCTCAGCCTCCGTTTCCCAGCTCAGGGCATAAAGTGCATGGATTTCATGGAATGATAGCTCCAGCCCTTCCTTCCATAAGACATACTTCTCAGATGAGGGGTGGGAGGAAGGGTGTCTTGGGAGAGAAGGGGTCTGAGAGACCTTGCTTGGGTTAGATGCCCTCCCTTGCTGAAAGCGGGACAGGACCTTGTGATGGACAGTTCCAACACAGCAAGCAACAGCAGATGGAGAGGGAGGCCCTAACGGGAGGAAGAAGGGGTATCCGGGCAGCCGAGCATAATGCTCTTGAGCATAAAAGTGCTTCTCAAACTGATGAAGGAGCAATTACTCTTTTTCCCCCAATTTTTTGCATATTAATACTTTTAAATGACACATGAAATACAGATTTATTTTTACATTGTTAATTACATATCCAATTGCTATAAAACTCTGTCGAAGTTTGCTCTCCATCTCTGTGGGGATCTTGTTGCAGGCGACAGTCACAGAGGCTTCAATAAGCTCCTCTCTTACTTGCTGAGGAAAATCCCTCCACGTGCTCCTCTAGGATCCTGTACTTCTCTCGGTCCTCTTTTCATTTGATACCACCTTCACCACTGTGGAAACTTCAAGGTCCTCCTTTAAAAAATTCAACAACATCTCATTAGGATATCTCATCCTCAAGTCCTTCCACGGCATTTCCTATTCCTTTATGACCTCCGAACTCAGCCACATCCTTCACAATGACACAGTTCCCCTGTTCTTCTGCAGAGCCTGGCACTTCTTTTTTTCTCTATGTTAACCTTCTTATGGAGGTGCTTTCCTAAGATTCTGGCCTAGCTGTCAGGCTCAGAACAGCTCAAAAAGGTGAATTTCAGTGTCTGAAGTGGAGTTAGGGGATGTTCATGAAGATTGCATTTTCCTCCTGTATGAGAATGGGCTAATTGTAATATCACTGCATGTGTGTATTTTGAATAGTGTCTGGGAGAAGGTAGCAACTAGAATATTTCTAAGAGAACATTCTTAGGATTTCCCTTTGAACATAGACCGTACTAGCCAGTTTGCTAAGAGAGGAAGGCAGTCATCACCTATGTGTAAAATGAAGAGATGAGCAACTTCTTTATGTTTATTCTTCTCACTCTATGTCCCTTCCTTACAATGGAGCTTAGGCAGATAGAAGGGGAGGAGCTGTAGAATGAGGAAGTCAGTAGACACATTGCTTTTCCAGTGACAGGTATCTTAACTTCTCTGACCTTCTCTGTCCTCTTCAGTTACATTAGGTTAGGCACCATGACCTAGGAAATCACTTCCAACTCAAAAATTCTGTAATTTTTTTACATTGCCTCTAATCATGTTGTTTACCCCATTGCTGTTCTCTTTCCCAGGGTCCTGATGATTTGTTAATCCCTTCTTTTTGCTCTCTTCTAGCACTTGTGTTCTGATTAGCAGCCAAATAGACGACAGTCAGAACTTCAGCTAAGGCACAATAAGGTAAGATCCTTTTTCTAGTTGAGCCACTTCCTTGAAAAGGGGGATTGATGGCCTGATCTGTGAGAACAAACTAACAAGGAATAAGAATTTGTAAGCAGGTGCTTTCAACATGATGTATAATTGTTACCATTAGTCATACTCAGTTATTTTTGTGTCTTAATAAAGCTAAGTATATTCATTTTCTCATCAGTTTAAAAATTAAAGGCATGTTGATTGAGATTTGAAACAAGTTAACTTTATATCAAATGCACATTCGTATTTAACTGTAGCAATGTGGAATTTTTTGAAATAGTGCAAGATGTTTGAATTAGCAGTACATATATTAGGTACATACTTTATAGCTTATCTAATTCTTAGAAGCTTAAGAATTATCCCTTGATTTAGATGCCTTTCTTCAGAATGCTGTACAAAATATATTGTGAACATAAACAGCAACATTGTGAAAAAGCTCAATCCTTCTTAGATGTTATCATTAATAATGTTTTATCTATCCAGCAAACACTGCTACCATCCTACCCTGAATCCATTCTCCCTGTACCGGTCCCTTCTCATCTTGCTATAAAGATGCTACCTGAGACTGGTAATTTATAAACAAAGAGGTTTAATTGTCTCACAGTTCTACATGGCTGGGGAGGACTCAGGAAACTTACAATCATGATGGAAGGCGAAGGGGAAGCAAGGCATGTCTTACATAGCAGCAGGAAAGAGAGAGAGAAAGTGCAGGGAAACTACCACTTTTAAAACCATCAGATCTCATGAGAACTCCCTCACTATCATGATAACAACATGGGGAACCCGCCTTTGATCTCATCACCTCCCACCAGGCCCCTCCCTTAATACCTGGAGATTACAATTCGAGATGAGATTTGGGTGGGGACACAGAGCCAAAACTTACCACTCTCCTGTTCCTTCCTAACAAAACCTTGATGTTGTAAGGACAACAAAGTGCCCAGCTAAAAAATATCCTCATCTTCCCAGACTTTTCCTGTGGCCGTGTGACCCAGCTCCAGCCAATGAACTCTCACGTTACAAATTTTAATACTGGTGAAATCATTCTTTCTTTCTTTTTTTTTTTTTGAGATGGAGTTTCACTCTTGTTGTCCAGGCTAGTGTGCAACGGCATGATCTCAGCTCACTGCAACCTCCGCCTCCTGGGTTCAAGTGATTCTCCTGCCTCAGCCTCCCCAGTAGCTAGAATTACAAGTGTGCACCACCACACTCAGCTAATTTTTTGTATTTTTAGTAAAGATGGGGTTTCACTATGTTGGCCAGGCTGGTCTTGAACTCCTAACCTCAGGTGATCCACCTGTCTCGGCCTCCCAAACTGCTGGGATTACAGGCATGAGCCACGCGCCTAGCCAAAAATCATTCTTAATAACTTTCTCCACATATCCCTGAATATCTCCCTTAGAATGTGGACCTCCTTGGGTCTCCATTGTTAATGCAGGGAAATACTCTGATATCTATTCAAAGCTACAGTTTTGCTTTCTGGCCATTGAAACTAAGAGTGACCAGTTATTTTCCTTTTCCTTCTATTTCTTCCAAATACACCCTGAATCTCTTGTCTCACTTATTATGACTCTACTCCAAGCCACCATCTTGTCGTGCCTGGACAATCACATTAGCCTCATGTTAGCCAATGTGGCTTTCATTCTTACCACACAAAATTACATTCTGTCATAGCTATCTTCTGCCTTGGGAAACCTCTGTCAGATCTTGTTATTCTCCTACTTGAGAGTTGCTCAAAATCCTTCAACTCCCTCCCCTCCATTTAGAATCAAATCCAAATGCATTAACATGACTTATAAATCTGATATGATCTGGTTTCTACTTGTACTTTTCTCTCTTGCTTCCTATACTCCAAGCCTCCCTGTCTTTTTTTATTGAACGTTTCTCTTTGTTCTTTGATCTTGGGGTCCTGGCACTGAGCCCCTGGCTCTTCTTACTTCTTGACCCTTCCAGTCAAATCTCAGCTGCCAAGACCTTTCCTAACCACTCTCTCTAAATAACCACTGTCCTGGACACCCAGGTTTAATTCCCTTTAAAAAATGGAAGTTTTTTTGTTTGTTTGTTTGTTTGTTTGTTTGTTTTAAGTCATGTGAAAATAACCCCTTATGGACAAAATACTTACATATGTCACTTAAGGGATTTAGGTAAGACATGAAGAATTTTATTGCACCTATTCATAATTTGTTGTTTATCTCCCATTATAATATAATCTAAGCTCCACGAAGGCAGGGCCTTGTCTGTTTCCTTCACTGCCAAAACCACCGTCCTTATAACGACACCTACTCCCTACAAGAGGCTTAGTAAATATTTATTGAGTAAATGTATATAGAGTCAGAAAATGCCCTATGTTAAATATCTTAAAAGAAATTAAGCAGTGCTTATAGATGTCCCCAATGTGCCTTTTTCTTAGACGGGAAGAAAAGGAAAAAAAAAAAGAGAAAAAGATGAAGAAACAATCTAGGAAGAAGAACAGAGGGACAGACAGTGGTATAAATAGAAAATAGCAGGAATCCTTGGGTGGGACTGTTTCAGAGATCTTTACTCGGTGGCATTTCTGATCTATGACATTCGGCGACAGGGCTTAGTTCTTTGGCTCTTACATTGATTTATTGGCTAAACCTGGCACATGCACAATGAGAAATGTTTGTTGAATGAAGGCCCAAAAGAATGAAATAATAAATTATTGAACTGCCAAGAGCAAACTTTTGCCTTTTTTTATGGGCATGATATATTCCCTTGATACCAGTATTTAATCCATGTTAGTGACAAACATTCCAGATTATAATGACTGTGAAAAATATTCCATGAAATAAAATTCAGTTCCTGTGCTAGGCATCCCCCTTAGCGCATTTCAGAGTTTATTCTGTCTTTAAGGGAATTATCGCAGTGACTGTCCAGAATGGCACATGGTGTTAATGTATTAAAAATACTGACAGGAAAATGAAAACTAGAAAAGTGTCTTATCTGTCAATTAAATGATATAGCCTGGTGGTTAGATTACAGCAATTCATGGGCTTTATGTTTTCTGCCGATTGAGATTTGACAGCTGTTTATAAAATATTTACATTCTGATTTCAGTCACATTGACAGCACTTTTGGGTCTTTAGAAGATGATAATTATATGTTAGGAAAATGTTAAAAAAAATTGAAGCTGATCGGTTGAGGAGAAAAATCTGTTTTTTAAATTGTGTAAAGGAAGGGCACCCACTTTATTAAAGGATGTCCATCTAATAAAAGTCAGAAGTAGTCGATTCTTGGATCCAAAATCATACCACTTATCATTTGCAGTAGTGCCGCTCCCAACCCTGCCTGCCTTGGGGACCTTAGCTGTTCCTCATCAGCTGTGTCTGGCTGGCTACATACTTCTTACCCTTTTTCACTTCATTATGCACATAACATGGCAACAATTGGATAGTACATTGGTTAGGATTTTGGAGTATCTATATCGAATTTTGTGAAATTTCAGTTCATATCTTTGGTATTAAAGGAAGATGAAAAGTATTGGGAGGAATACTAAGTATTGAATTTTTCTAGAATTTCCAAATAAAATCTTTTCAAAGACTTTAATGAGAAGCATCAATTTATATATAAATTTATATTATCAGGTATGTGGAAATGGCAGCCTGCAATTCTTGATTGCTGGTCTCATCAAAGTCTTTTATTTGGTTTTGCAGATTTATTTTTTGCTGTAACATTTTGCTACATCACAACATATTCTTTTTAAACACCATTATATTTATATGCATAGAAAACATGCATAATATTCTATAACATACCTAAATATTCCTGATCTTTTCCAGTGTTTGCTGTTAAAAATTTTTATATTGATGAAAATCATTCTTAATAACTTTCTACACATATCCCTGAATATCTTCCTTAGAATATAGTCCAAGAAATGAAATTCCTTGATTAAATGGTATATAAATTTTTAAGGCTTTTGATATTTACTATATGATTTTCCTTTCATCAAAATCTTGATAGCCACTATCTGTGTGATGCTTTGTAAGAACAAGTAGATAATAGAAAATGTAACAAACCTATTTTATAGCCACCTGAAAGTTTCCTGTAGTTGAGATTATGTTTAACGATTCTAACAGCTATCACTTTCTTTCATTGACAAATGTAGTGTTGACACTTCTTGGGATAAGGTAAATGATTTTGGAACCTATCCTAACCTTTTAGTATTGAGTATTTGAAAAATTCTTAGACGGCATAAATATTTTTATAGCCCTCACCCTGCACATATTTTGGAGTCACTAAAAGGGCGTATCAGCTGCAAATACACAGAAGCGGACTCCACCCTTGATGCTTTGTAAGAACAAGTAGGTAATAGACTGACTAGGAGCAAAAGTGCAATTGAAGGTTCTAGGTCTACACACACTTCTCACTACCCCTCTTCCCACTGTTGGGTCTGGGTCTGTCCTGTTCCCCCAGGGTCCTCCCCCTCAGAGCCTGCATATGGACCCTCAGCCAGAAGGCCCAAACACCTTCTCCCCACATCATCATGCCTTTCTCTTGGTCACAAATGTATTTGGGTTCCAGGTACACAAGGGGAATGCATCAGTGAAAGATCACTATGCCTTAAACGTGAGTGAACTGTGAGCTTTAGGGCAGAGAATTGCAGGAACCTGGTTATGTGAAACTTGGTCTGGAAGCAACCAAAATTCTCATCAGCCTGTCCCCTGGAGAGGGTGGGGATGAGAGGAAGTCCAGAGTGAAGCCTCTGACACACTACTTTTCAAACACTCATGTGCATATCATCACCATTAAAATACAGATTCTGATCGGAAGGGCTGAGCTTTTGTAATTCTGACAAGCTGTCAAGTGAAGCTAATGGACTTTGATGAAGCTGACTGCCCTGTGAGTAACAAGACTGTGATACACAGGCCCAAGGCAGAGCCCCAGGTCCTGGGCACTAGACAGAAGTGTTGGCTTGATGCGAAGACAGAAAAGTGGGCCTGCTTGGGACGGCTGTCTTCAGCAGGAATTCT